TTGGTAAGAAAGCTCGAGCAAAGCTCTGTACTTTTCCTGCTATTGATGCAAGTTTTCTTGCTGATATCACTTCCAGATTCTTTAATGCATCTAACTCGCTTTTGACTAGTTGTAATTTCTCTTCTAGAATTCTCACCTCAGCCATTTTTGTATTGATTATCAGATCATAATATTTTACCACCTGAGATGGCTCCTATTGTTCTTTGTTCAAAGCTCTTATCTAACCGCACCTTTTCAGGTCCTTCTCTATAATTGTGTCTCTGATCTTGCACAATATTTCCCAGTTTGGGTGGGCAACCCAAATATCATCCAGATGGTTGCCGCAAAAAATTCCTTTTGAGCACCACGAGCCGATTAGAGAACGTATTATTTTGAAAAAAACCTATACTACTTGGGAAAGGCCGAAAGGAAGAACAGTATAATAGTACCAGATCTCCCTATGTCTGAAGCCCAAAAATCGTTGTACCCAGTTGTCTATTTTTACATGATAATATCCATCTCTTAGGTTGAAAACTATGACCCACCATTTTCGTTCGATTGTTCTTAAAAATCTGCCTAATCCTTCGAAACAAACCATTTTCTCTAGTAGTGTTTTGTTTAATCTATGCAGATCTATAACCAGTCTGAATTTCTTTTACCCTGTTTTGGGGATCAGAAAAATCAGGCTGACTTCTAGCAAGAAGTCTGGCCTTTCCTTGCTATAATGAATCTGTTAAATTGCACTTGAATTGTATAGATGGTTTAGCTCCTTCTTTAACCAAATCGATTCCTCTTCCTTGACTCTATTTTCTAACCAGTATATTATTAAGGCTGATAGTTTTATCTTTCTTTTCCAATATTCTACTGCTTTTGTTGTATGAATCCTCCTTGTCACTCTTAGTTTCTCCTAAATATCCAATATCTCACTTCCTTTTGTATCTCTGAGTGTTATCAACTAGAGATATTTGGTTCTAACTGCCAAAATGAATTCAATATCTTTTTCTGGAGACAATTGGTGGCTATGTGACCATGTTCTTCACATATAAAACATATCACACCGGTAGATTTTCCTGATTTCTTACTTGACTTCCTATAATCATCCATTTGCTGATAAGTAGGAGATACATGGTTAAATCCCTGATACGTTGCTGGACCTGATGTTGTAGCCACATATTGTAGCTGCTGTAATGATATCTGATAGTGCACTACCTATAGTTAACACATGGAGGCATTTGTGTTAATTTGCTCTAATGGTACTCTTTGAGACAGTTGATTATACAAAGTTCCTATCACTAGTGTTACAAATATAGAAAATAGGGTATCACAGTTGTTGTTGATGCATAATCTAGCTTTTGTTTCTTATTTTTATACTGTCTGGCAACATCAACTTTTTCTTAAACATTGCCTCTAATAGACTCTCATTACAAGATTCTTTTAACACTGCTGCAACATCCTATCCCTCCTTATTTATTATGTGTAACATATAAGCCTGAGTATAAGTGATCTTACAGGTCTCCATCACTTGATCCCATGATTTACTCAACAATGCCTCATCAAGAAGTTTTTCTACTTTACGCTATTCCTTGTATTCGAACTGATCTCTAGGTCTGTCTATCTTTACTTTCAGCCAATCTTTATTCTCTTGTTTTTCTAATAATCGCAGATTAATTTTTATTTCCTCTAAAGCCTTTGCTAACATTGCTTGTAATGATTTTTCTAGTGATTTTTCCAACGAAATGTATCCCCTATCCTCTATATAGGTCTGTCCTGTATGGTTCCATAAAATATTCTCTGCTACGTCGTATGTGCTTCTAGCCTAATCATATGTTTCATAATAGTCTCTACCTTGTTCTCTTATTCTTTTTCCCTAAAAATCCTTCCTCAAGTTGTCTGCATACTGGTTTACATAACGATCTTCGTCACTTTGCCAAGAATCGTCCACGTTCATTATTTCCTTTCCCTTAATCTTATTAGTGACCTTCATAGCAAAACATTCTGCCAAGTTTTTCTTGTTTCCTGTTTCAGATAGACCTTCTGCCGAACAAAGTGATCTTAATGTTTCGATTGTCAACCTGTCTAGGTTGTTTTTAAGACTTGAGTCTGATGCAACCTCTTGCAATTCTTGCGTAGATATACTTTCCATATTTTTTCATTTAACTTTCCACTAAGAGAACTCATATTTTTACTCATTACACCCTGCTGGTCTTTTGAACATTCGATCTCTCACTTTTATTATTCATTCGTTCGTTAACACCTTCTTTTCCCTTTAATTTACTGAATGCTGTGTCTATATGTTCCCAATGATTGTTAATATGAAGTTGACTGTTAAGCTGTTAAATAAAGTTAACCGAGCTAAACTCCTCAGAGTTGAGC